TTGATCATAGCTAGTGACAGTTGATCATAGCTAGGAACAGTTGATCATAGGTAGGGACGGCTGATCATAGCTAGGAACAGGTAATCGTAGCGAGGGAGAGGTGAGGTATAAGTGTGGAATACTTCTATGGGAGAGTATACGTAGCGACTATATGACATTCTACCATGAAAAACACCCCTTCCAAGGAAAACAAACACTCGATCGATCGATAAAAGTCAATAAAATACACAAACTGGACGACAAACTCGATGGAGATTCAATGTTTTGGCTGGTTTCAGGTGCTTTCAGGTCGTTTCAGGTCGTTTCAGGTCGTTTCAGGTCGTTTCAGGTCGTTTCAGGTCGTTTCAGGTCGTTTCAGGTCGTTTCAGGTCGTTTCAGGTCGTTTTAGGTGGTTTCAGGCCGTTCCTTGTTTTAGTAACAGTACCCGCACGAGTTATATGTTATTGTATTAACTAAAGTAATCATTTTTGTTTTGGTTAGCTAAACGTATCTATTTCTAGTCGAATATTTTTATGAAAAAGGGATTTTCATGCCGAAACCTTCAACGAGTGGGTGGACGAGGAATTTACTGCGTCATAATTTACATAAAAGAGTACTCACACGAGTTTTATATTAGTTTATTTATAGTTCCTTTCACGGTTTCCGACGCCATATTGTTTGGGCAGAAGTGTAGGGAAAGAGATACGTTTTTCGCAATATTTCCATTCTGAGGTTACCCTGCGAGCAAAGTCTCCTTTACCTTCCCCCGAGTGAGAGAAAGGAAAGAGTCTTCTTCCCTTTCTCTGACTCGGGGGAAGGTAAAGGAGACTCTGCTCGCATGACCTCCTCACTACATGTAGGTGACGCAGAACTCTCATTTCAAATCTACTTAAATATGACTAAATGTAGTAGGCCAATAATAAAAGACATAAACAGTGAGATAAGATACGATCAAGAAAGGGCAAAAAAAAGAAGAAGAAGAAATTAAAAAGAATAAGTGAGGATAAATAATAAAGTAGAATCTGAGAAGAAGAAGTTGTCCAGTTGGTAAAACAAAAATTGAAACAAGTGTCACAGTGGAGAATTGCAAAAGTGTTCACAAGTCTACACAAAGAGAGAAGAATAAAAATGAAAACAGATAAATATCATTCAGAAGAATCGATATTCATTGAAAACTTTTCCATGAGGCAGTGACTACCAAAACAGGACATTAATGTCACAAAATAGACCAAAAATGTTGCGGGAAATTGAAATTGGAAAACCTATTAATCAACATACATTATTATTAATAGAAAATCAGTATTACATGGATATAAAGGTGAAGTAGTTTTAACTTTTAGCTTTATTTTAAAAATTAAATAAGAAACTTAAACGGTACTCACCCACACTTTGAGCGTTATTGGTAACAAGATGACAACATAGGAGAACCAATCCAAAAATTGCCTGCAGGATCATTCTGAAACTGAGGATAAGAAAATACGTTAAAAGGCTGTTGCTGATGATGATAGGGGTGATACGTCCATGTCGATGGTGGAAGTATCCATAACGCTTTAAAAAAAATGTTTAAAAAAGTTAGCAACAATTAGCTGTATTTCACAACTTCTGTATATATTAGAGTTCTAAAGCAAAGAGCTTATTAATATACCACTACGAAAATAGAATCTTCCGAATGTAGTGCCAGATAGTAATTACTTTGGAAGAAGCCTATAAGCCTCTTCGGTCTGGATAAAAGGAATTCTTAATACCACAGAAAATAAACAGCGAACTATGAGAATCGGATCGGCACCTTTATGACAGTGGGGTTGTAGATGTTTTTTATCATTATAATTTCTTACTATTACTAATATATTTTCTGCTCATTTCCATATTAATTGTTAGAACGATGAACGCTATACTATTGTTTTCCCCACGAGATTAAACGTTTTCTTGCGTTCTACTTTTGTCTAGCTTTTCGTTCTTCTAGTTCTTTTCCAGTTCCATACTGCTCATTTTTATTATGTTCACCTTTTCTACTTCTCTTGGTCTAATAACTGGTTTAAAAATAAAGAATAAAAAATGGCATCATTTAGCAGCAGCCAAAATCATGACTTGTCCAATTTATCATATAAAGTATGTTTGTGTTTTTGCTTGTGTTTGTGTTTTTTATTTTAAGCTCCAGTTAGAACATTTATCACAAATAGGGTTTTTGCCACAATATTATAAATTTTGGAAAGCATGTTTTTAATTTTTAAAGACAAAAAGTCCAATCCATTTACTTCGAAACCGAGTTGTTTAGAACATTTACATTTGGCCATGACCATATAGTTTTGCAGGTGATAATTTTTCATAAGTAGCTATATATAGACATTTTAATATCTCTAAAAAGTTATTATGATATTGATTACTTTCCATCATTCGGGTCTGGGCTATATTACATTGTGTCATTAGTCTACTACTGTGAGCTGCTAAAAAACTAATAATAACAAATCTCATGACTGAGCTGACTAAACACTCAAGGGCGGATCCAGGGGGGCAAGGGGGGCTGAAGCACACCCCCCCCCCCCCCCCCCCCCCTAAACTTTTTGGCTGGATCCGCCCTTGACACTTAGTCGTACCTAATAGTAATAAGCACCTACAAAACTCTTAGTTGTAACATCCATTTTTCACGGGTGCACAAAGCCTGTGCCTACTTCGTAAAACTCACTTTTACGAACAACACACATTTTGCTATTCATTTAGTCGAAAAAAGTATTCATATTCGCCTACTGTAGAATCAATAAGGCGAATTTAAATCGACAACCAAGGACGAAGAGCGGACATTTAAACACGCGCAATTAATTGACAATCATTGACACCAATCGAAAATCCTTAACATCATCTGACAATCATAAGGTAAAAAGAGACTTTCAATAAGACATTAGCATAGAGAGGCACAGCTAATTGCGTCAAGAACAATCATTCATTGCGTAGCAGCATTCGATAATCGCGAATCGATAAACATTTGTGTAATAATGACAATCAATGAAGGGAAACAAATTTCAAAACTGCTTTATTACTTTAAGGCTATTATCCTTGGATTGCTTCATGATTAATGCATCTTGGTAAGTACGTCTGCATAAACCTGAACAACTGTTCACATTTGGCGACAGTTATGGCATCAATATTCCTCTTCAGTAAAATACGCAGATGATTATAGAAAATCTCGCGCGCTGATTGGTCAAGAAACTTACACTATCACACGATAATCACCTCGAACGAAAATCCAAAATGGCAGCCAGCAGCTTTGTTGCTGTTACCGGAAACAAAATGCCTTTTATCTTTTTTTCTTTCTTTTTTCTTTCTTTTTTTTTTTATTTTTTTAATTTTTTTTTATTATTTTTATTTTCTCTTTTCTTTTTTTAAAAGAATCACCTGTGTATTTATACTAAAGCAATTATATATTTGCCTCAGGCTCAGTGATTATTGGGGAACATTTACCTCGCCGCTCGAAGACTCGTCTCTGGTAAAATATTCCCCGATAATCACTTCGCCTTCGGCGAATAATTGTTAAGTAGTGCTTGGAGTAATAACTGCGTGCGGTATGCATCTAAAAAGCGGAGATATTATTCATGCTCAGTCATGGTCTAAAAAAACAGTCGCAAACCCAGCTGTTTAAATCCCTCTATAGAAACTTCCACAATAGATCGCTTGGATCCAACTGTTTTTGACGTTTTCAACTCTTTGAATCCCGCCGCCTTAATTGGCAATATTGATATGTCATGATCAAGGTCCGACCTAAATGGCCATGAGTTYAATTTCGTTTTTTTCTTTTTTAATAATAAAGGATGACAAAAAAAAAACGACGATTGTATTCGAATAAAAGATAGGAAAAGCTTAAATTTCAAGCATTATCTAATATCGAGTACAATCCAGGTACTTTTAGCAACAATTAGCTGTATTACAAAACTTCTACATATCTTGGAGTTCTAAAACAAAGAGCTAATTACTACCGCTACAAAACCAGAATCTCTTGATTCAAATGTAATGCACATTGCGCAATTCATGTTCCTTCGCGTTAGTCAAGTTATTCTTGGTGTTATATTTCTCAATTGGCACGGTTTTCTTTGTTATTCGCGAGGCTTTATTTCATTATAAATGCAAAGTTAATATACAGTTAGTTATTAACCCGGTTACTTTAGAGAGTTTTAGATTGACTTTTTTTCTTCCCGCAAACGGCAAACGTGACCACTTTTTCATCGTTTTCCTGTGTTTTACTTTACCTCTTGCAAACTTTCATATCACAAAAAAAAATGCTTTTCTTTTTCTACCACTTGGATTCTTTTGCGATTCCTTTTCAGTCATTTAAAAGAATTTTTCACTGATCAACTGACGTTACACGTTTGCCGTGAACGGCTATATAAAACTCTCTAATAATTATATATAGACTTCGAATTTATAATGAGCAACATTTGATAGAAAACCTTCTCAATTGATAAATAAAATACTTAATTACCTCGAACCTGCGGCCTCGGGATGTATATGGCTTATTGCCTCTATTCTCGGTAATTAACTCTTACTTATAGAATGTATATTTGCGTTATTGATTCTATAATTGGCTAAAATGAATGTCTTTTTTCGCCTAAATGAACAGCAAAAAGGTTTATTTTGAAAAAAGCACAGAAGCTAGCCTTATCGATCTGGAAAAAACGAATTCTTAATACCACAGAAAATAAATAATCGGAATCGGATCGGCACCTTTATGACGTTGGGGTTGTAGATGTTTTTTATCATTATAATTTCTTGCTATTAATAATATATTTCCTGCTCATTTCCATATTAATTGTTGGAACGATGAACGCTATACTATTGTTTTTTCTGCCAGATTAAACTTTTCGCGGATTTTACTTTTGTCTTCTCGTTCTTCTAGTTCTTTTCCAGCTCCATACTGCTCATTTTCAGTATGTTCACCGATTAATGTCCCTTTTCTACTTATCTGATAGCTTAGTGGCGACTGTCACTATGGCCATGGTCAGCGGTCGAGGAGGAGTAAGATGGCGTCTCGAAAGCTCCCATCAATTAGGATTAAAGTACCTCTCTTGACTATTAACAGCGGGGATCTGTAAATATCGACCATAGGTGTGCAAAATGAAAAAGTCGAAAATTCTCAAACTTTGCCAGAAGGTAAGTCTCGATGACCTATTTCATGTAAAAATAGAGAAATTACTATAACTGAGTTTAATGCGCGACAATTTGGTATGCTTGAACCTGCATGATATTTAAAAAAATATTTTCTCGAATTTCCAATTTTTAAATTATAATTTGTTCAAAAAAGTGGATTTCTATGGATAGTACAACGCGTCCGCTTTCAGAAAATGCAAAAACATTTTTGGGATACTTAAACTACAAATTTCTAGAGCCCGAAACGCAAATGTCCTAAAGGTCAAAAATTCAGCCTAGATACGATAGCGTGACTCAATGATGCAAGGATCATATTGTCATTTGCCGAAAATAAAAATTATTTTATCCATTTTTCTTTATTAATCTGGCTAGTTAAATTCAAAACCACAGATGTAAATAAACTCAATTTCGCACTATAGTTATAAAGAACGCGTCTTATAAGAATATTATCTGAAATATTCGACTCCTAGACTGATTCCATAAGTCGTAGTTTTCGCTCCTTTGTGGGTTGTGGCCACTCCACTAGCGACTTATCACTTTTACTAATTTTCTGCGCATATTTAATCAGCCGGAAGCGAAATTCCCTCTAAGCCGTTAAAAAGTTTTTATGTTATTAGCGTTTCCACACTTTCTTTTTAACATGGTAAGAATTTATTGAGGTTACAAATGTCGGAGTGTCTAGATACCCGGCACCATGGGAACCAATTTCAAAATACTACACGGCCGGGAGTTTTTGATTTCTAAAAACGACCTGAAACGACCTGAAACCATCTTGAAACGACCTGAAACCAGCCAAAACATTGAATCTCCATCGAGTTTGTCGTCCAGTTTGTGTATTTTATTGACTTTTATCGATCGATCAAGTGTTTGTTTTCCTTGGAAGGGATGTA